AATCCACGAATTACGGTTTGAACTGCTTGACCATCCACCTTACTCACCAGATCTAGCCCCAAGCGACTTCTTTTTGTTCCCTCATCTAAAAATTGCGCTCGGAGGACAGAGATTTTCGTCAAATGAAGAGGCAATCACCTTCGTGAACAATTATTTTGCAGAGAAAAACGCCGAGTACTATTTCGACGGGTTACAGAGATGGGAGCATCGCTGGGAGAAGTGTGTAGATTTACAAGGAGACTATGTTGAAAAATAAAAAACAATTTTCAGAAAAAATGACTTGTATCTTTGTTAGGTCGAAAACTTTTCAGACCACCCTCGTATCTCTTCTCGCACGTACTTTTACTATATAACCAAATCTTTACACTAAATAGAATATATTCTATACATAAAATATATTAAATAAATAAAGAATTGAAGAACAGAAGGAGCGTACGTAATAAATAAATAATAGAAATCTATTCTTGGCCAACATCTACATATTTTCATTATAGACTGTGTAAAATGACCTTTGTACTAGTAGGATGATTATTAATTATATAAAGTGATCTTTATACTAGCTCTGAAGTTATTTCCCAAAATATAATTAACAATTTTCAAGGTTAATAATAATTGATTATTTCTATGTTATCTTTGGTATAAATCAATATAATATTATGTTTTAAATACCGAGATCACGATTATAAATGCATATAATTTACTATATACAGAGTATTCCAAACCAACCGAATCAAAATGATACAGATGGTAGAGAAGTTTAAAATAATTTGAAATAGAAAATTAATGATCGGAAATGCCCATTTAAGGCTCTACGAGATCTTGAATTTCCATTTAAAACGTACTGTAATAAGTGTGAAGAACGTTTCTGTAAGCTGCTTTATTTTTTATAACAATATTTTACAAGAACTCATAGCAACTGTGCAAAGTAACGACTACCGATCTCGATACATGGCATACAACGGCACAAAAAATTTTACTATACTCTCAAAAATTCCTGGTATCTAAATTTTTTACGCCGTTATACTATATGTGTCGAGATCGCCACTTCGCACAATTGCTATGAGTTCTCGTAAAATATTATGTTATGAAAAATAAAGTAGCTTACAAAAACGTTCACTTCATACTTATTATACACTTCAACTAGAAATTGAATTGTTTTAAAGACATGTCTTAAAGACATTATTTTAAGACGTTGTTTTAAGATATCTTAAAGACAGATGTCTTTAACACTACTTTAACCCCCAATGGGCGTAGCAATATATACTGAGTGCTGCGGTTTTAATTTATAAGTTATCAAACAAGTAACGTTGCAGTTTGGCAGCTATGGATCTAAATAAAGAAATAAATTATTTTCATTCTTAAAAGTAATTTTAACTTATTCATCGTATATGTAACACGGCCTTAGCTTATTTAAACTTATTAATACGTTAATTCAGTGCAGCACTGAATGCTACCCGCGCCTGCCCACAAGGTTAAGATCTTTATATGTATATACTACTATAAATTTCTATAATCATATACATATTAAAAAGGGAAGGATGTTTTATTTATTATCATTTATTTGCTACAAACGGTTGAAAATTATAATTAGAATGTGGATTTGCTTATTTATTTTGCTCAGAGTTGGGATTAAATATCAATGACAGCTAGCAGAAAATGATGACATTAAGCACATCGTATATTTTAAATTTTAAAAGATATACTGCTGAATAACGATACTTGGAAGTATGATTTAAAATTTAAACCAAACGATGCCGGATACGATTAACATTAACTAGTTGTCATCGATATCTAATTCTAAACAGGATAAGCAAATCCATCGTCTAACGATTATTCTCAAGAATTATCTGTATGGAAGAAAGGAAATTTCCATCCTCGGTATTACAACGTAAAGGTAAATTGACTAAATTAAAAATTATTAAACTATAAAAATTTACTGTTTAATAATTCCTCTAAGATTTTGACATACTTCACGTATACGACGCTCGTAAAGACTAATAAGGAAATTGTTGGAACTATACTGATTTTGATGGACTTTGGATACATTATAGAGTATTAAAAAAATATCAGAGCCATATTTTTTTAGCTATCTTCACGTTTAAGAGTTAAAACAACCCCTCGAGAATAACGGAGTTTTTCATGTTTAGCGAATATCTTTGAAAATAAAGTACATGAAAAAATGTTTATGAATGTTTTATCATTTTTTTGTATTCTTTATATTTATATTTTTTTCGAAAATACAAAATTTTTTAATTTATCTCACTCCCACCCATTATTCTTACAAAATTTAAGAATGTTGTAAGAATATTGTAATGAAAATTAAAGAATATCGAATGCCAAGTGCATTCATGTATAATAATGTTTATTAGATTTGGTTTTTGGGTTTGAGCCGCGCGGATTTTTCTTTGTTTGATTCCCACGTTTCGTGAACATTTCAATCTGCTTCATCAGAGAGGAACGACCTGATGCCAATGTTATGTTTATAAATAATAATGTTATGTTTCCATAATTCAATTTTTGGCAAAACGAGATGATAATAACATCGTGCTATAAGCGTCACGCTATATTATTTCTTTCCACGGTAAAACTCCTGTTAAGGGAACCCAGTTTCTATGGCCTTGACCTTGACATATATTATGAAGATACTCTTCTAAATACTTTTCAATGGATTTTAGACGTCGCTCGTTGTTTAAAAAGTTATTAACAAAAAAAGTTTTGAATGTAATGTTAACATGTAAATTGAATGTAATGTTTACATACAATGTTTTGCACAGATTGAAATATTGTAAACAATAGACAAATATATGCATGGGGGAACAACTCCGCTTTCCTCTTGCACTCCCTTCCCAAAAACAATTAACCTAACTTAACCCATTCTATAGATTTTTTATAAAAATACTGAATAGAGAACCTATCTCTTTAATCTTAACAATCTTTTATTTAACACTTCGCTGGCATTGACGCACTTTTGCATCAAATAAAAGATGTACTAAAAATGGCATTAACGCACTAATGTGCACATTATTTTTTTTTTCGGTTAGCAAGATATTCATCAAACTAAGTACCCAGGGTCGCTGATTTCGAATCTAAACTCTAAATTTGAAAATTTAAAATGGTGAGTTCAATATGGCGGGCCAAATTGCGAAAAGTGATTTGATTTTTACCCAGATAGCCAAACCTGTGCGAGCAGATTTTACGCAGAGTCTGTCAACAGTATCTGTTGACAGAATGGCAACAGACTGCACACAGAAACTGTTTTAGCAGTCTCTGACGACAGATTGGTGACAGACTGCGCGCAGAGCCTGTCGACAGATTCTGACGACAGACTGACGGTAGATTGCGTGCAGATTCTATTTCCTAGATAGGCTATTTAATTCTATTAAGGGCCATATGTACGTTATTAAATGGGGCAGTTTCACATACACACTATGCTGCAGAGAAGTCAAGATAATTATATTGTGCAATAATTGTACACATATACACAATAAAAAACAATGTTTATATTTTAAAATTATATTACACATTTTTTATAAAAAAACAACAATAATAGAGAAATAACGAGTACAAGTATAGAATAGTACAAGGGTTAAATGGCCATTTAAAGGCGTACACATGTCATTCCTGGTAAAAATTGTTCTCATAATTTTTCATACAATTTCCCATCTTATTATTTTTTTAAATGTTGTTATGTAATTAAATCCGATTTAACCGTCATGCAATAGCATTCAAGGCAGCAGCACCGAATAAAATATTAGTCTCGCTATGTAAATAACTTTTACAGAATTTTTTTGATGGTTTATTTAAAAATATATCATGCTTCGATTTTGATAAAACTTAATACAATCTGAACGGGACGATCGACCAAATTAATTCGCACATGTAAAAGTACAGTATTTTATTAACATGATAGAAAAATGTCATTATCTGCTGTTTTATTGCAGTAATTTTCTATACATTCCTTGGTAGAAAATTAATTTCGAATTATCGTACCAGTCTCTTACATTATTTATACGCTAAACGGTTTCGTCTATATTTTGCGGCTTAAAAGGCGAACAAACTATAATATTTTTCTTCCTTAAACTTTAAATAGACAATACAAAGCGCTTTTTATCAAGTGAGGAATTGGCGTAGTGTCTAAGGCGACGGA